ACGGAGAAGATAAATTAATTAAGTCCGTCGGAAGATTATTCTGACGTGCAACGGCAGCAATTTCCTTAGATGGACTATGAAGACGCTTACGTTTAGACACACGGATATCCTTAACAGATTGCAAGGTATCTAAGCATTTGAATGATTTAAACATATTTTCATAATGCTTAAATTTTTCTGTCAGTACCGACAATTCTCTTCCTATTTCTGTAAAACCATTTCTGGTTTGCCTAAATAGCTTGAAAAGATCAACTTCGGTTGACCTGCACTTTACGCAAGACCAGCGAAGGCCCTTGCCATCATTAATAGCGTCCAGAGTTCTTCACGTCAAACCAGCACATTTCAGATGGTAAATACCATCACACAGCCAGCACGATAAGTAGCGTTCAGAATCGCTTTTAATTTGGCAAGTTTTAAGATCGCACTTCATATTGAAAGATTTATGTAATACACTCGTTAATAAAAGATAAACAAAATAAATTATAACAATTAAGGAGCTGATGTAAATAGCTTTAAATAAATGTAGCGAACAGTTTGAGTATCACTGTAATTAGGACACTTAATAAACGCAACGCAAACAGCTGTGACAAGAATTACTAGAAGAAGTAAACAAAGAGAGTAGAACATATGTGCAAAAACAAAATGAATTCAGTTAACTACAAAGGATACAACAACAATGATAGCAACAAATGACTCGGCAAAATTAGAATGTATGCTAGTGACATTTAATTAAATTTGCCTTAATATAAAACCAATAACTTTCACTTAGCTTCAATTATTTCACACTCTGATGCTCATAAGCACTTTTTATCACTACTTTAACACAGAATTAGCACAATGAACTTAGTAAGTAGAAAGCCAAAATCAGAGCACAATAAAGTAAAACCTCACAGCTTGACGTTTGCATAAGCAACTAGTATTTTTTGTTCATTATTATATTCAACTTATATTAAGAATTATTTTTTACTTTTTAGTTTGATATGCTCTAAAAGCGTGTTTTTTAGTTTTTTTAACTATATTTATTTTTAATTTTTTAGTTCGATTTATTGTTCAAAATAAAATTTTTTCTAAATGCTCGCGTGCTCGAGCCGGAAAGTAAGTAGACGGTACGCATGCGCAGACAGCGTGGTTGTCTTACTTGCTCTCACACAGAGGCTGTGTGAGGAAATTATTTCATCCTGGCGATCCTAATCAGGATAATGAGATAAATTTATGAAATTATTATATTGTCGCTGATTCTTGATAAGTGTACAAAGTTTGAATTAAATCTGTCCGTTTAAAGAGGGTCAAAATCGAGTCCAAAGGAGTGTTAAAAAAAACAGATCGCAATAAAAATATATGAGTTCAAAAAAAAAAATTATATTTAAATATATTATTCACAAAATATTTATGAAAAAATAGCTTTTGGGGCACACTGCCAAGAAACAACAACTTTCCTAAATGCTTTCCAGACAAGCGATTTCTACTTTCTCTACTACATGACCGCACTTTTCGCGAAAACTCTAATAACGGGCGTCATTTGTTGAGTTGCCGTTGCAATGATAAAAGTAGTAGAAATTACTCTTTCGATACCAAGTACTTTTTTTCGATACTTACTCGATACCGAACGAAAAGGTATCGAGTAAAAAACTACTTGGTATCAAAAGAAAAGTATCGAGTATTTACTTGTATTTATTTGTATCGATTGAACCCTACTTGTAGCTTGTTGATTCGCGACTGACTTCCAACTCGCTGTTGCAGCGGCCTTAAAGTACGTTCACATAGAAAACCGAGCGAAGCCATTTCGAGCAGAGTGAAGCTTTCAAATTTCTGAAGCTATATGAAAGTGTTCATACAGCAAGCTTTTTTATAAGCGTTTTGGAGATGAAAGCTCCAACTTTTCAGGTTCATAATGCTGCTGCAAACAAAATAGCAAAATATTCAAATAAAAGCAAATATTTTTGCCGCATTTCATTGACGGTAAGTTTTGTGGTACCTTTGCAGCCGAGTCCATGAGAAAAGCTCCCGTTCGATTCGTTCAGTGTGAACACCAGCAGCTTTGCTTTGTTCCGCCTTGCTTCGCTCGGCGTCGCTCGACTTCCTATGTGAACGCGCCCTTATATACCCGCGCTGCTTCGCACTCATGGCAACTCTAGAACGTTCTGACATCTATCTCATTCTCTCGCTGTTCGCAGTATTCATTCTCCTGACGTTTCTGGCTGTCGAATATTCTACGTCATTCCTCGAACATTTTGCCATTTTCTTGTTGTTCGCTTCGCGTTGCCGCAGTATTCGCCACAACATGATAATTATTTTCGTTTGTTGAGATGCTTGTTGGTGAGTCGTGTAGCCACTCATTGTACGAATTAAATTAAATAAACTGTTAATACTTTGATACATCTTTATTTCAATATAAACATACCTTAATAATAATACAAAGAATTATTCAGCCTTGCCAACTGCATGTGAATAACTAGTTCCCGAATCGAAAACAAAAGGGAAAAGTTGTTTATATAATGATTAATATTTTTACGGAATATTTTTTCACATGGAATTAGCGTTGAGGCCGATTATTTTTTCCTTAATTCTACCTGTAATTTTGGCTCCACATCATAGCATAAGCTTATATGGTCGACAAAATGTAAATCTTCATATTTGAATGACGTAGAGAATTTTAAGTTCCACACAAGCACCATAACTGAAACCCTTACTGCGATTTCTGCGTAACGCCATCCTGAAATTTAAATGATATTTTCAATTCAAAATGATGATAAATGAAAGATTTACATACATATCGTTACCATCAATGCAAAAAGCCCTATTTGAAATTTTTTATTTTAAAAGAGAAGCAAAAAACTAATTCAAATAACGTCGAAAGTGCTTACATGACTGTTCTAAAGATTCCAATATATCTCGTATTTTTTAAATTATGGCTATGAATTTTGCTATTGGGATGTATTTGAGATAAAACTAAAATAATATGTAAACAACGCATTTTTGAAAAAGAGTCATATCAAATAGGGGCATCTGCATTGGTGAATATTCCTCTAAGCTCGAAAAATTGGTAATTAGCCAAGTAAAATTAGATACGAATTTGTAACAGCGATTTTTTGATGCAGTTTGCTTCTATTTGACACGTAGATCATGCCCCTAAATTTAATTTGGCAACATTCCGCCATCTTGGATTTGAGTTTTTTTTTGGATTTTTTGCGATTTGCAAACTTATTTTGAATTCTTCGTAAAAAATTGTTAAATACAAATATGTAGAGAATTTCATTTGCCACATTTGGCATATAGAAGGTTTTTTAAAAATAGCATTTTTTATTGTAAAAATCAGCAAAAACTGTTAAAAAATTTTATATTGTCACGGTTTTCGCCATCTTTTGACAATTTCTGTTGAAAGTTGAAGTTGAATGTTGAAATTCCATACTTGTAAAGAATACACTGGTCGACGGCCAAAATTTACCAGAGACGCCGTTATGAAATTCGTATGTAAAATCACCCCCTGATTCCGAAAATCAAGGTTATTTTTAATTTTATGGTACCGTTTTTGAGATATTTGCAATTTACCGTTTTTGCAAAAAAAAAAAAATTGGGTCCACTTAATCATACATATCTCAAGAACGAATTAAGCAATTCCAAAACGAAGCTACACCAAAGTGGCTACACCAAGCAAGTGGCTACACCAAGCACTGCTGCTTCCTCTGCAAGTGGGATAGCCGAGCTCGTAAGGACCACTACGTCAGAAAGGATTGGCCGGAAAGAGTCGAGTTTACCGTTGGTGTGGATAACATCAAATACACCCCTCTTGTCAAGAAAGAGAAAATCATACTTCCACCCTTACACATCAAGCTCGGTCTCATTAAAAACTTTGTTAAGGCTTTGGACAAAGAAGGCGAAGCATTCGACTATTTGAAAACAGTTTTTCCAGATATTTCTCAAGCCAAGATAAAGGAAGGTATTTTTGTTGGACCACAAATAAGAAAGTTGATCAACAATAATCAATTCAAAGGACTACTCTCATCAGTTGAGGCAGCAGCGTGGGAATCCTTTGAAAAGGTCGTTGCTTCTTTTCTCGGTAGACACAAAAGCCCTAACTACGAGCAGATAGTGAACGACCTAATCAATAATTATGCGAAAATGGGCGTAAATATGTCTTTAAAAATTCACTTTCTCCACTCACATTTGAGCTTTTTTCCGGCAAATCTTGGCGACGAAAGTGATGAACATGGCGAAAGGTTTCATCAGCAAATGAAATTAATTGATGGGTGATTACTGCTGGTTTCTCATAAGAGAAACCGATCCTAAACTGAATAAGCGTCAAAGTAGAACACATAATTATTTCGACAACATAGTAAAATCAAATTAAGATAAAGATTGTTAGAATATAGTATAAACATAAATAAATTTAAAAAAAAAGTTAAAAATATGGGTAATTTCATTCATAAATTGAACTTTTAACTCAATAGAAACAGAGCATAGCTAGTATTTCACTCTTCTTATCATACATCGTTTTGAGGTATACGTTGAAATTGCGCAACCTGGGTATTTTTATTTGATCGCTTATAACTTACGTAGTTTTGCATCGATTTTCTTCGATGATAGCTTATTTTTTTTGTAATACAACAGAGCTTAGGGAGAAAAAAAAAATCTGCAAAAAAATAAAAGGTTTTCGAGATCCTTCCCCGCAAAGTACAATTTTTTTTATATTTTTACAAAAAAAATTGAAAAAATCGGTAATGATTGTTCGTTATCTTTGAATCTACAGGGCCTAGCAAAAAGTGTTGTATGCACAGTTTATAGAAAATTTTATTACCTTTTAAAAGCTTCAAAGTGGATCCAATTTTTTTTTTTTGCAAAAACGGTACCAAACGGTATTTGCAATTTGCAAATATCTCAAAAACGGTACCATAGAAATAAAAATAACCTTGATTTTCGGAATCAGGGGGTGATTTTACATAAGAATTTCATAACGGCGTTTCTGGTAAAGAGAAAAAGTTGAAATTTGTGGTCCAGTGATATTATTCTTCACAACTTTTATACCAACATTTTTTTGTACGACGTTTATATAACGACCGGGATCGTACCAAACATAGCGATTATCCCAGTAAAATCAGATAAATTGGATAGAAAAACTAAAATAAAAAAGATTGTAACAGCGTTTACTTCTATTTGACACGTAGATCATGGATCCACAGTCTCGTCCCTAAATTTCATTTGGCAACATTCCGCCATCTTGGATTTTATTTTTTTGGATTTTTTGCGATTTGTAAGCTAATTTTGCATTTTTCATAATAAATGGCTAAATACAAATATGTAGAGAATTTAAATTGCCACATTTGGTGTAAAGAAGGATTAAAAAAAATATTTTTTATTGTAAAAAATTAGCAAAAACTGCGAAAAAATTTTACATTGTACCAGTTTTCGCAATTTTTTTGACAATTTCTGTTGAAAATACATAGCATGTTGAAATTCCAAATATGTAAAGACTTTCATTCTTCGCAACTTTTATACCTAATTTTTTTTTGTACGACGCTTATATCATGGCCAACATAGCGATTATTCCAGTAAAATCAGATAAATTTGGTAGAAAAACTAAAACAAAAAATGTAACAGCGTTTACTTCTATTTGACACGTAGGTCATGGATCCACAGTCTCATCCCTAAATTTCATTTGGCAACATTCCGCCATCTTGGATTTTTTTTTTTTGTTTTTTTTTTTTGCAATTTGCAAGCTAATTTTGCATTTTTCATAAAAAATGGTTAAATACAAATAAGCAGAGAATTTAATTTATGTAAATGTAAGCGGTTACCCAACACATAGCACTTAACATTTAGAATTATGTTGGGTTTTGATTTTAACGTAAAAATGGCATAGCAGTGCAAAGTATGCATAACTCTGCTATTATGGTTTGGCAGAGCTTTTAAGAGAAGTTGTTTTTCATGGCAGAAATATTCTCGGAGGTTTTTTATTGCCTGCAGTGTTGCCATTTTGGTTACTTTTAACCAATTTTGGTTATTTTTTTCTTGCCTGTGAAGTTGTTAAGATCATTCCCATTTTGGTTATTTTTTACCATTTACTGTGGTTTTTAATTTTTGCATAAATACAATAATTAAATCTTTGAAAAATAGTGTAAACAAATACATTTATTCTGTTCAATATGGTTATTTAAATAAAGTTATTACTACTAAAATGGCAATTCAAGATTCGACTTATTCCGATAATAGTCATGTGTTTACATATGCAAAAGAACATGTAAAAGTTCGAGGGTGCAACTATCGGTTCGTGTTTTTAATAAATCGTGTTGAATTAATCGCCAAGTTTTTGAAACGGCCCGGAAGTTACACCATCGCTATGTTCTTTGCACACACCTACATCAGTGGTGTCCAACTGAGTTCGCACCGAGGGTTACTTTAAAACCATTGCTTTGCTTTGCAGGCACCGCCTTAATAAACTTCAATCTTAATTGATCCCTATGAAACCCTTTATTTATTAATAAAATTTATACAGCTTGCTAAAATAAAGGAATGCATATAGATAACGAACATTCGTTGTATTGTGAAAACAACAATTTCCTATTAATTGATAAAGCAGTGTTTCCATTATGATTCATAAATCGATTTTTTGGAAAAAGAAAATACTGGTTCCATAGAGAACATTTCGTAACATAAAATGCAAAAATCTGTAACTAACATTAGGGGTATTCACGATCCGATGCATACAGTCTAGCATGGTGCATAGATGGCATAAATAGCATGATTGTTGTTGTTTCATGTGTTCAAACAACAACAAAATTAGCCAGTCATGCTATATATGCACCATGCTAGAGAGTATGCACCGGATCGTGAATATCCCTATTGTTAACTGAAATGCAAAAGGGCGTAACTAACAAATAACTCAAAATTTTGATTCATTATGATTAATGTGACCAACTGTTTCATAGCTCAAAGAAGTACAGGACCTGAGAACAAAAAATAGTGTGAAAGTAATGAAAAAATGGTAAAAGCAGAATATACAACAACATTGACAGTGTACCAAATCCAACAAATCTAATTTTTTAATTAACAAGTAAATTTNTACTGTGGTTTTTAATTTTTGCATAAATACAATAATTAAATCTTTGAAAAATAGTGTAAACAAATACATTTATTCTGTTCAATATGGTTATTTAAATAAAGTTATTACTACTAAAATGGCAATTCAAGATTCGACTTATTCCGATAATAGTCATGTGTTTACATATGCAAAAGAACATGTAAAAGTTCGAGGGTGCAACTATCGGTTCGTGTTTTTAATAAATCGTGTTGAATTAATCGCCAAGTTTTTGAAACGGCCCGGAAGTTACACCATCGCTATGTTCTTTGCACACACCTACATCAGTGGTGTCCAACTGAGTTCGCACCGAGGGTTACTTTAAAACCATTGCTTTGCTTTGCAGGCACCGCCTTAATAAACTTCAATCTTAATTGATCCCTATGAAACCCTTTATTTATTAATAAAATTTATACAGCTTGCTAAAATAAAGGAATGCATATAGATAACGAACATTCGTTGTATTGTGAAAACAACAATTTCCTATTAATTGATAAAGCAGTGTTTCCATTATGATTCATAAATCGATTTTTTGGAAAAAGAAAATACTGGTTCCATAGAGAACATTTCGTAACATAAAATGCAAAAATCTGTAACTAACATTAGGGGTATTCACGATCCGATGCATACAGTCTAGCATG